AGGTTGTCCCACTATGGATATAGGTATTGGTGCCCATGGTACAGTACAAAAGGAATTCTGTTTATGTCTTGCTCTTTTGCAGATAATCAGCATCAATAGTTCTTTCCGAATTTCTGTGGGATATATGTTGTTTGGGCTATCTAGTGAAGTGTTACTCCAGAGCCTTGAAGTCAAATTTTAGTCCTTCCGAGGAGTGAAGTCCTTATAAACTACTGTTACAGGATGGTTTTATAGAAAGTAAATTCTGTTACGTTGAAAAAAGATAAATCCTTCTTTGGCTTTTATCCCAGTGATGCTGTGATGCTTACAGCTGGAAAGCCATCCTGCTTTCTCTGCATTTCTGTTTATCTATTGGAATGCTTTCCATGCAATCCGTAACCATCAGATTCTTCATGTGTTTTTTGGCTGTTCTTTCTTGCCCGCAACCACAAGCTCTTTATGGCTAAGATTGGGTTGGTTGTTTTTTTTTTTTTTTTTTTTTTGTACAGCTGGGAGTGCATGGGTAAAGCTTTGCAAATAAGAATCAATGTTTCTAAAATCAAATGTCAAAATGATAAATGAAAAGGTCAAGTGCTGGGATTCAGATAAATTTCAGCAAAGCTTAAACTTGAAGTATATGTAGAACTGAAGTTTACTTAAAATACCTTAAACCTGAACTTGAAAAGCTTGGAAAAACTCAAACACTTAAAATAGAAGTTTATTTAGTGCATGAGAGAGGAGGACAGTGGTAGGTAGGCTTTCTCAGGCATACTACATGGATTAAATACTCCTTGTCTTACTGCTTGTTGCAGTTCTGGTCAGTTGTTGGAGGTGAGATTGGTTGTTCTTGTTTCTGCCCATCCTGTAGATCTTCTTTTTGATTAAAAAAAGGGCAAAAAATTGTTAATGGACAACTCTTGAGAGTGGCACGAGGTTTCCTTTCTTAGATGTGTATGGTGTAGAACCAGTGCCAAAACGACCAAGTCTGAACGGGGAGTGATGGGAAAATGGAAAAGCCATTTTGGAATTCCTGTCTACAGGCTGTTCAGAGTCCTTCTGCATTACAGCTTGTGCGTGGGCTGGTTTGATCTGAAGGACCATTGACCTTCCTCTCATATTTGCCCTCAAAATACATACTTTGCCTGCAATGCCTAGAGGAAATAAGCCACCTAATTATGGTTAAATGAAATGGTAGCTGGGAGTAGTGGAGGAAAAGGATTTATTGCTTCAGCACTAGGTGTTCGTATCCCTTCCTACTACCTGTGCTTGTTTGTAAACTCTTTGGGGCAGAAGCTTCCTTTGCATTGGCATTTTTACAGCATGTAACCAATGGAGCCCTAATCCTAGATGAGTTTTTGGGAACCACAGTCAAGCAAATAAATGCTTTTTTCCTTTCTTTCCCTGTCAGGGTTACCATGCCCAGTGAAATGAAGAACAGTCATTTGTCCTTACCCATGAAATTTTGTGCAAAATAACACCGAAGTTCTATAGAAGAGACTTTAATACAACTGACTGTATTAATTCTTTAATGCTTAACAGAGCAGAAAGGTATCCATCCCATTTGGAGAAGGCTTCAGTAGCTTTCTATTTTACTGACCTGTGCAGATTTTTATAATGTCTAAAACCACTGTTGCTTTGAAGAGCTTGAACCTGGATTTTCATTTCGTGTCCTACTTTCAAATTTGCAAATGCAAGGGATTTCACTGTGGTATCCCAAGGTGGAAAACCTAATATAATTCCAGAAACATTGCCATATAATTGTCTGGATGTATATAGAGCATGTGATAAACCTCCCAGACATTGAAATTCAAAAGATTCAGCTATTTGAAAGAAATTATATCAATGTTTTAAGTACAGACAGCTGCTGCTGGAGCAAAACCTACTGGCTGCCATGAGGATGCCCATAGCTGAGTGGGAGCTGGGCAAGGGAGGTGGGATTTATATTTGCCTGTTCAGGTTAGTTTGGCTTTCAGGGCAGTTCATGTGCAGTCCAGATCCTGATCCCGCAGTAGGGCCATTATTCTCACTGCAGTCTACCGTGTCTGAAAGAGCCAGTTCTTCCTGCCCAAAAAGATAGAAATTGCTTTCTGGGGCTCATAGAAGGAACTGTCTTGAAGGATATGCTCCTCTTATAATAGGAGAAAATGCAGTTTAACTCTTTTCTCCTGTTTTTTTTCCTCCTCATTTTCACACTTGAAGTAAATTGACTATATTAGGGTCCTTATGAATCTTGATTTGGTTATGATCTACCTTTTGTTTTCCCTTTTCTTACTAGATTAAAGTTTTTTGAAGTTTTTCAGAGGCTGTTCCCTGCCTTCCCACTGGTTGGAGAAGTCCACTTGTCTAGAAACCTAAATTTAGTCCTTTGTTGACGCAGAATAGTCATTCAGGCTTATCTGTCACTCAGTTTTTCTCCTATGTTTTTGCCAAAGCACTTCCTAACAAGATAAAATAAAATATCTTCCAAACCTACCTGTCTCCTTGCAAACTAAGTTTGCATACTTAGAAAAATTGGAATGACATGTGCATAATGAACTGAGAGATCATTTTAAGTTAGTGATGTAAGAACCAACTGTTAAGATAAGGGGGGAGAAAATCTTCCTTCAGGAAGTATTTCCAGGATTTTTTGACAAGACCAAGTGTTCAGCAGTGTCACCTTATTTTCCTGCTGCTGCTGTGCACTTCTCTTGCCAAAAAAACCCAACAAAAACTGGTCATGAGTTTGAACTCACAGTCCTCCCCTTTTTTCCTAGGTGAGAAGTGTTGATATTCTCCCTTCCTTACACATCAAGTATGTGCTGCTTTTGGACTCTGACTTGTGGCACTTTCATCAGAGCCAAAACCACCTCTACCACAGAAAGAGGTGACCCAGGGGGAGTTTGTAATGCCACCCTGTCCTGATCTGTACATGTCTTCCTCCTCTTTCTCATTTCTCTGTCTACTCAGCTGCTCCCAGGCATCAGCCAGGAGGGTGATGGAGCAGAACAAAGCAGTCTGTGCTCCTGTCAGATGACAAAGCTCAGAGGATGCCATCTCACTTTATTCCTTGAATTACAGGAACCTAAAGGCTCTGTTGAGGGCATGCTCCTCTGCAGCTGATGTTTCATAGAGATCTTTGCTACCTTCAGTGCAGCCTGTTTGAGCCAGACAGCACAGGAAAGCTCCTTTTACTGGTTCCCACCGATGGTCTTGAAAGGAACAGTCATATTAATACTCATTGTCTGCTCCATAAAAAAAGGAAAAAATTGCTGTATTAGACCAGAAGTCTGAATTTTGCTTCCTGAGAGAATGAGACTTTCTAAAAATTCAAAAATGAACTTAAGAAGAAGTTTTTGCATCCATCGTTTGACTTCCAAAAGATAAAATAAAATAATAAATGGGTAATGTTTTTGTACCCCTGTTCAGGATATTCAGGTTCAGAATAGGAGAGAGAGGCTCAAGTAGGTCATGAGGGAGATTGGCAGGGTTTGTCCATTTTTTTTTCTTTTTGTTTCTCTTTTTTTTTCTTTTATTTTTGTGCCCTCAGTAGGACTTGAATTCAGGAGCATGTTGTAGGGCACAAGTGAGGTTTGCTTGCAGAGCTGTCCTTGGAGCTCACCTGCTCAGATGAAAGCTAGGGCTACTAATCTCCTATTTTGGTGAGTAAGTCAGTCTTTGTAAGAGCTGAAAATGCAGTGAAAACTATCAGTCATAACCATCTTGAGGCGTTCTTGCTGTACAAAGGGGAATCTCAAGGTTGAAAATAGACATGAATTGGACTAGATTTAAAACTATTGCAAAATATCCCTGGCTGCCTCAGAGGACCTTTTGCAGAGGGGCTGTTTTGATGCACAAGCTTGACAGGTCACTCTGGCATTTTAAAGCAACTGGTACAAAAACATTTTGTAAAATAAGGAGAGCGTGTGAAGGAACAAGGATAGCTGGAATCAGCTAAGAAAACTTAGGCTGTGGTTTCATTTCTGTCTCACTGAAGGCAAACTGTGGGATTTGGACAGGAGCAAAGTATGAACAAGATCCTGTGTTTTTTGTGTGAAAAGCAGAGTGGTATTTCATCTATTTTAAAAAGGGTTTGAAGTATTTGCAGAGCATTACCAGTACTGCAGACATGAGTAACAGCAGAAATTCCATTTTTAATTGTTTTGCATTCCTTCATCTTAGGATCCTGGATCTCTTAATACACACATTAAATGAAAACTTAGAGCTTTTGTTTAGGGTGAATATTTTCTGCTGCAAGGGAGGAACTAATGCAAGAGAAATTCTGGCTCAACTGATTAAAAACTCAGTACAGGAAACTTTCACCATGTTATAGAGAAATTCCAGAGACAGACCTGAAAGAGGAAACGGGCTTGGCTAAAATCACTTTTGTTGGATGAGTAATGGTAGTTTTTGACTATGAAAAATGCAGATGCAGAATCGTGAGCATCATCTATTTTGGAAATTTTTCTTCAGTTTTCCAAGGAGCATTTTTGATTTTTTTTTTTAATAGTTTTGAAATATTTTTTAAACAAATAATCCAGTGAAAGGGGTGAAAAATGGCACCAAACTCACTTGGGCAAGGTAGTAGGTGGATTTCTTGAGCAGCAAAGAGAACTGCAAATGTTTACAGATGCTTTTTTGTGGGGGAGTGGGGGAATTGGTTGGAAGGATGGCAATTAAGGATTCATAATTGTCATAAAAAAGCAGATATGAAGTGAAGGTTGCTAGGAGGACAGATGAAATGAGATGGACATGAAGGGGAAGTGAATTTCACTTGGGGGATGTCCTCAGCACCAACACTGCAGATGGCTCAGATGAGCACTTTACTAATTATTTTAGAGTTGTCTTTGCTTAATGTGAGGATAAATTTAAGAAAAAATAAAAAATTGACAGATTCTTGTTGATCCAAAGGGAGACGATAGAAAATTGCTGTGTAAAAGTGATTATTGGAAGAAGTAATGTGTGGATGCTAAAGCAGCTTATAAAGAAGTACCTAAAATATTATGAAAAATAGCTTAAACTTGCTTTTTCTTTTTTTGTTTCAGTGTTCTGAGGTCATGAAACTTAATCCACAGCAAGCCCCGTTATATGTGAGTACCAATTAAAATACTTTTTTTTCCTTTTCTACTATTCACACAAAATGCTTCCCACCGTCTTTTTGGAGATGCCGCTCCTTTTCTCTTTGCTCCCTGAGGAGGTTATTTATATTAATTCAGTTGCAAATGCTCGGTGATAAAGCCCAGGTAAGTCACAGAGCTCCTCTGGCTTTCCAGCAGACTGTTTTAAATAACTTTTGAGCCATACAATGCTGTCTCTGTGCAGGTATCCCCCGCTTTTATTTTTTTCCCCTCCCCTGGAGCTCACGGCTGCGCTCGTGTGACTTGATGTGTTGAGAGGTGGTAAGAAGAAATTGCCTGGGTGGAAAATGGGGCATCCCAGCGTGCAGTGCTTGCCCACTGTGGTAATATTTTTCTGGTTGCAGTTTTAAACGTGGCAGGGAGGAACTGGAAGCAGCGCAGGGCTCGGCTGCAGCGGGGTATGGTTTACGTCAGCCTCCTGGAAGCTCATAACCTCCGTGGCTCCATTAGCAAGGAACAAGCTTCCTCTTGCTCTTGAATAGCAGCTTTGTTGCAGAACATGGGGACTGTCAAATTAGACCTGGGTTTGCGGGGGTGTGCGAGTGTGTGTGTTAAATTTGTGCCAAAGCTGCCAGCCAGGTCTGTAACTGTTTGCTTTCCATATTGCCTTGCCCCGCTCGGAGCAGTGTGAGCTGCTGCAGCTCATGGCCCTGCCCTCGCCAGCAAGGGCAGAGCTGGATGCAAGGATGGAAAATTTGAAGGGAAAATTGCTTGCAAATGTGGCTTTTAAAGGGAAGGAAGAAGAAACAATCAGGACTTTTAGTAGACCTGTATCTTGGAGGGTGTTGTGCATTGTAAATAATGGATCGTATTCACCTTTAATGCCATGGAAGCTTTAAATTTTGCCTACTTTTAATTACCAACTGGAAGTCTATATTGGAATTTATTCTCTACTTATTGTGCTAAGTCTTTTGCTTGAAGCAAGATTGAAACACTACGACCTGACTTCGGGAGGATGCTTTCCTGGAATATGCCATATTCTGTATTTTGAAACTAAATGTTGCCTGAATTTTGTTAAATCTCAAGCCTATTAAATGCACCTTGACTTTAAAGAAACTTAATTTAAGCTTAAAACATGTTAAAAGAGAGTGAAACTTATGTTCAAATATATGATAGAATTGCTACAGTAGAAACATGTGAATGGTGGAATGCAGGATAAAATTATCCTTATGTCATTTGAACAGTGTATGACTTAACTAATCAGGAGGCTTTGTTTTCTCAGTCTTATCTACTGAATGAGTTTATTTTCCCACTGTTTTGTGTGGGGGTTTATTTAATATGTAACACTGGAGTGGTACACTTAGAAGTCCTCATCCCTACGTGATAGTGAGAACTGGGCTGAAGTCAAACATAGCCCAGTGTAAAATAATGATTGTATGGCACTTGGTGTACTGGTTTTTTGCAATGCAAATAAGTTGGTGACAACACTATTAATACATCAGTGACTCTCTTTTCTCTCTTCCTTCTCCCCCCCCCCGACCAGGTGTATACCCAAATCAGCTCCCTTTCAAAACAAAAAATTTTGGTAGCTTAAGGAAATTTGAAAAGTCAATATTTAGTAGTTCTGTTTGCTCTCAGTATAAATGCTTTGTACATTTTAAGATCAGTTTTGTTTTCCTTGTGTTGCTAATTGACAGCATGTCTGAGAGTTGTTAGGTGTGAGCAGAACATAAAGAATAAAGCATCCTCCTGGTAATATTTCCAAGGGTAGACACAAGAGTCTTGTAGCCTCACCACTGGTAGGTGAATAGCAAACTTCATCAGGTTCCTTCTTCAAAGTGATGGCAACTCTGTTTTCCACATAGAGGCTCCTAGAGCCTGTTTTCAAATAACTGAGAACAGTATCCTGTGAATTTCTCCATAAGGAATTCCATCTCTGTGAACCACTGGAAATAACAGGCAATACTGACATGTCAGAGGATCTCCCTGTATTTGTCCACTCTCAGGAAAATTTGCTTCTCCCACACTTCCCCGTTTTGTTCTTGACACCTTTGCATTACATCCTTTGCACTCTTCCTTTTTTAAGCAACTAGCTTAGATTCAGGATTACATAATTCTGTTTATTATTTTACTAAGTCTTGGATGAGTTTCATCCTGAAAGCTCCATTAGATAGTTGGTTTTATCATCAGCAGCATTACTTTTAGAAACTCCTTTTAGGAGAAGAAAGTAAAAAAATTATGTCTCCAGTTCAGTTCCTGGAAGCCACTTAGAGAACTAGAGCATGTTTTATTCTATCTGATAATCACCAGTTTGCCCAGATTAATGCTTCATAATTAAGAAAAGTGATTTGGGAACCTGAGATGTCCAGTGTACTTGGGACCAAAGTTTTGTGGGTGATGGAAAAGATTGTACTTTCAAATACACACTAATAGGGGGATAGAGGTTCTTGTATTATACAAATTGATATGCATGAATAGAAAGAAGACCACCTGCTGCATCCTTCTTGGTACTTTATTTTGGCTGCTTGGACTTTTATTTACCTCTTCTGTAAAAGTCAACTGTCCTACCCCTGCAGAGCTTGTGACCACTGGAGGTCATATGACGAGACTACTGGCCTTTGTAAGTGTGAAGATTAAGAAATAAGGTGGAAAACACATCCCGTAATAATAATAAGTGTCATGTTTTTGTGATTAAATAAGTCACATTTAAGCGTTACTTGATTGTTCTCTGGTTAATGAGGTTGCCAGGAACTGGAGCTCAGCATTGTATTGCTGCAGGTTTGGGCTGGAACCACAGCTCAGCTTTTCCTCTGTCAACAGCTGTTCCCAGGAGCCAGGTCCCCCCAGGAGCATCGTATCTGTCACCTAGAGCTGTTTGTTACCTCCCTTAATGCCGTTTAACGAGCTCCTGTGGCCCTGGGTGCTGCTCACAGCAGCGCAGTCATGGGGCAGAGGGGCTTGTGCCAGGAGAGATAGGGCAGGGGAGTGTTCCTCAATATAGCCCGGGTGTGATACCACCAGTGCTCACACAGGCTGTAGGTCAAGCAGCTCTTCCATCCTACCACTGTCAACACGTCACTGCCTTTAGAAAAGGCAGTGTGACTTTGCAGAGCCTGTGGCTGAATATTGTGGGGTGAATTTGAAATAAAGATATTCAAACCCATGTCCTTAAGATGGATTGATTTCTTCACCTGCAAAAAAGGATCCATGTGGCTGGACAGTCCTTTGATTGCCTGCCCTTAGACTGCAGTTGGGAATACCTTTCTTGATGCACAGATACTGGTTTAAATCCAAAACTAACAGTGCTGTCCTGTTGCTACAGAAATTCTTATCAGGCACAGCGTAGTGGATGCAGGGTAGTGTTTCAAACCTTATTTCTGATGTGCCCGGGACTTTGTGCTCAGGAAGTCCAGGGTGTCAAAGCTGAAGGACCAAGCTGTTTGTTTGCTATCAGTACTGGAGTGGAACAGGAGGGTTGCAGGAGTCTTTGACTGATGGGAGGTGGGAAGTCAGGAGCTTCAGTTTTGTTTGTTTTCCTTAAGTACTTGCAATGACCTTGCTGATCATCTTTTTATAAACGTTCTATCTCTCTATCATCAAAAGTCAAAATTTTAACTTCAGTACTGTAAGGTGCTTCCTGACTCTTGTCAATGTGTTATTGCAATATCCAGATCATGAAGGAGTATGGAAAAAAAGGATGAAAAAGGCTCTAAACAATGGAGGTTTGTTAGTAAGTGACCTTTTTATTGTTGTGATTCATTAAGCTCTCTGTTTACAGATGAAATAGTACAAAGTAGTCACTTAGCTTAAACTGCACTGTTGCTAACATCCAGGCAAGTGAAAGAAAATGGGAGAGAGCTTTGCAAAGGTGAAGTGTTGATCTTTTTAGAAACATTGTCATTAATTGGGAGTCCAGCAGAGTATTCAGCAGGAGATTTAATTACAAAAGGATCGAGGTTTCTGACAAAACTTTAATAAATATTGAGTGCATGGGAGGGAATTAACGAGGTTGAGTCTTCAGATACATAAAGTCCTGAAAATTGTACTTCAAAAGTGATGTGCGTGGCTTCTGATTTCAGCCTCTGCTGGCTGTGGGGTCTCTGTAGTTTTATTGATCGTTTTTCTAACCCAGTCACGTCTCCTGCCACTCTGAAATCAATGTTGATTTGGGTTTTGGTTTTTGGTGGGTTTTTTTTCCCTCGAAAAATAACCTGAGAGTAGTATTGGGTATGAATGTTTTGGAAAAGGACTGGAGTGACAGGCAGGGAATGAGTTGGGAAGCATTAAGCTCATCTACTCTTGATTACAACCAAGGCTACAACCTTAGATCTGCCTTTATGACAGGAGTGTTTTTTCATGGTGATAATGATCAGTGGGTGTGAAATGGAAAAGATTAGCAGCTGGAGAAGGGTGATGTATTGCTGCAAACTTTTTTCCTTTTTCCTTTTAGATTAAAAGGAACAAACTTGTTTTAAATCACAGCACTCCTCCTCTGCATGGTTTGCCTAAGGTGTGCCCACGTTATTTGGAGTGACAAACCTAAATGTGTCATAACTGGTGATTGCATGAGAGGGCAAACATTTAATTGATAAAAATGCTGCCATTGACTTTGGTCTTTAATCAGGTCTGTGGATGGAGTCTCTTGTCTAAACTGCCACTTAGGAGCTGTGTAACCTGCAGAGTTTCTCAAGGAGACTTTTTGATAGAGATGAGAGCTCCCACTTCCAAGGCAAAATGTCACGCAACTTAATGAAGTATGAACTTCAAAAGGCGCAGAAAGAATGCATTGACCCTCTCTTAATATAACCTAGGGTTTGGGTACAGTAGGTCCTCTCTTCTGTTAATGAATGAACTGCTCCTCTAAATTTCCCAGTGTGTCTTGCTTTAATCTAAAATGGAAAAAACCGATAATACTTATAATATTTTTTCCCCACTTACATATTCATATCGAGTGATGTCCTACTGAAATGCACTGTTTATTCCTGAGAAAAGCAATTGTGATACCCTCTGAT